CCCTATCGTTTGTGAGGATTTCAGTACTCCCGGAGGTGTCACAAATGGGGTATCCGTATAGGGTCGTCCCCTATCGGTTATGAAGGTTTTGTGAACCTCAGAAAGGCCAAGGCGAAGCAACACTAAATTAGTATTACAATAAGTTTGTCGGTTACTCACATGATATGATATTATACATATATATATATATACATGATATGACATTATATACATTATACAATATATTTGTATGCATTATATAATATCATATACTATGTTGGACTGGTTGCTTCCACTTCCACTTTCGGTTGTTTGATGCTTCTCACCAGGGCCAGCTTTGCACGAAACTCGCAGTCAATGAAACCTTGGGTCCCTTGCGCGCAAGTCGTGGATTTCGAACCACTGCGAGGTTGGCTGATGAAAGACCTGCCACTTTTCGGCCCGTGAGAGTTCTTCAATGATCCATTTCAGGCTGGATTGAAGCCTGCAGTGAGATAGCTTGGCGTGTCTGAGAATTTTTGGATCCCCAAAATATTGCAATATAATGCAACATATCAATGGGGACTATATTAATGACTCTAAGCTGGCCATACATCAATGATGGACTTTCATGCACTGTCATGGGAACACGATGGAACACGCATATCACATGGAAACTCCTCAGCCCAGCAATGGAAAGACCTGCACTTTGTAGGTTCCTCTCTCCGGCTTGCCATCATGGCAAACGTTTGCAACCAAGTCCTTGGACGCTGTTTCAGCCCGAAACCGGTTGCGATCCAGGGAAGCCAAATGTACCAAAAATAACTGACTGCAGTAGCAGATGTTACCAGTACTTGAGTAACCCCACAAAAGGTTGAAAGGCTTCAATTTACCCAATACCACTATCTTAGATTGGGATGTTTCATGATTTTTCCATATTTTCCATATTTTTCCTAAGCTCGACAGATCTCTACAGTATCTTTTTGGAGCAAAGAGAAACATGCCGCGCTACATGATTTCACCATCAAAATCCATAACCATCGCTGGGATGCCGGCATACTTCGTCTCTGGGTTGGCAGGTTGACAATCCGGATGGATGTAATCACGAAGATCCAAGCCTTGCGGATGGTGAAACCATGGTTGAAACCATGGTGATTCACCATGGTGAAACAGTGAAACCATGAAACCATGGCTAACCAAGCACGAAACATGTGAGACAAACCTGGTAACAAACACATTGTGAAAAACCATCCATTGTGGGTTGATACAGTTGATACTCAACGATACCAATGGGGACTCTGTTGAGTCTTCGAATTTCGACTCCAGCCTTTTAGAGGGAAGGTGACGATGGTCGGATTCTTCTCAACGAAGAAGTTGTTATTTCCTGGGTTTGCTCTGCCAAGTGACCTTAGAACCTCTGGAAAGGGGTTTGTCTAAGAACAGGGCATCCGAAAACCGCTTGGGGGAAAAAATGTATAAAACAACAGTTGCCAAAACTTTGTCCACTAGTTTTCCACCGATTTTCCTTAAATTTTCTACTAGTTTTCCATTCAAAGCTCCGACTGCCAGGAAAGCCTGTCCAAAATCAAGCACAAGTCTTTTTCTCAGGGAACTGTATGTTGCTTGGTCTGCGCTTGGGCGCTATGTGCAACGCCTGAATGAAACATGCTATGACCAGCTCTTGGGTCATTGCTCCTGTACCCGTTGCATGCATGACCTGATTGTCAGGAAAAGTCAGCCCTTCAGTCCAAGTTGGAATTGTCCACGTGCGAACGCATATTCTATCATTGACGCAAGGTCATACCACAACGAACCAACTGTGCTGATTTTGTGATACAAAGTGAAACTTTAATAGACTACATACACGCCCACATTCGTGCTCTCAGCCGACAGGGCAACAAACAGACCCTCATGAGAGCCAAAATTTGTCACTGTGACCACGGAACTCCATTACCGTCAAGCTACTGCAGGTTGCCAAGGAAGCTGAGATTCACACTCACGCTGATGGTATCGTGAAACCATAGCAGTCTGACCTGAATGCGAGGCGGCAACAAAAAATACATCAGAAAGTTGTAAACAATGACATCAATCTGAACGGAAGCATTGTCAAAAGCTGCTCAAAACAAAACACCAAGTGCCGGGCTTGGACGTGCCACGATTGACTGGTGCTTCTTCATCTTCCAGAGTCCAATTTCCATCCTGCCGAGAGCAAACTTGAAGCACTGTTTCGAAAGGTCAGGTTAGAGCGGTGGATGGTGGAAGAAAATAGCGAAGCCGTCCTTCAGGCTGTAGATCTCAATTTTGGACGTTTGCATGGGAGACAAAGAAGGGTCAATTGCCTCGTGCATTGCCGGAAGCAAAACCAAACGCTAAACTGGTTTAGTCAATGCACCAAGTTTGAACGTTACGGCACAGTTTTTGACATGAATGCAAACCATGAACTCACAGCACAGATTGCAAAAATGTTTGCTCTGCTCAATCTTTGTCACGTCTCTTCTGAAAAATGTTCCCAGAACAAGAGACAAACAAAATTTCGCTTGAGGTCTGCACTTTTTTCAAATCATCTATACTCTGGATGTCCTGAAAAGAAAAAACTGACAAAAGCGAATCAAACTTAGGTGAGTTGAAACTGCTGGCATTTCGCATCACTTTTCTAGCGTCCTTATCCTTGACTTGAAATCCATTGCCAACGAACTCGAAGCCACCTTTGCCGTCCTGCAAGGTCAACAGCCAAGACATTCAAACCCAAACCCGTGTTGCACAAGCCGCTTCCCGGCAACCAATCTCTTGACTGGCGAAGACATGAACGCATGGCTGAAGGAAATCTCATGATAAAGTTTTGTCCGAACAGACCACTTAAATCTTAACCTCACACTAGTGAAAACGAAAAGGGGCAAAGGCATAAACTGTTCCATTTACTTTTGCAAATTACAAAGCCTTTGATGCTCGAGTGGGAGAAATGATGGAACACAACCCTACCTGTGTTAACATGACCAATTAACACTGGCTTTTAGCACAAGAACCACAAAAAGGAACACATGAAAGGAACATATAGGGACGACAAAGCCGCTCGTTCAACACTTGCAGTATTTCTCAAAAGATGAGATGTTAAGTAGGAAGAGTCAAAATGAACATGGGAAAGAAACAGGGGCATTCCAGAAAACATGCCAAGTCTTTCGTCGAAATCCTCTCTATCAAATTGAGGGAGACGTTTGAAAGATATCTTGATTCCGGCGCCACCCTTTCAACCAATGTCCGGCCGTGCCCAAAAAAGAACACATAGCAAACAAAGACTTAACGCGCATCACAAGCAATGCAACGCACCATGCAAAACATTTGGAAACATGGCAACATGGCAGTGGGAAATCTCTTGATGAAGCGTCGACTGAACAAATCACTTGTATTTTAACCTAACACTAGTCAGAGGAACCTCGAAAAGGAACAAAGGCATAAACTGTTGCATTGACTTTTGCAAATTACAAAGCTTTTGTTTGATGCTTGAGTGGGAGAAATGATGGAACACAACCCTAGCTTTATCAACATGACCAATCCACACCGGTTTTAGCACACGAACCATGCAAAGCAACACATGAAAGGAACATATTCGGATGACAAGGCTGCTTGTTCAACACTTGCTGTATCACTCAAAAGGTGAGATGCTGAGGTGGGAACAGACAAAAGGGCACAGCAAAGGAACAAGAGCATGGCAGAAAAACATACAAAGTCTTTAGTCTAAATCCTCTCTATCAATCGCAGGAAGATTATTGGAACATATGTTTAAACAAATCCCGAGGAATGAACAACCCTGCAATCTTCTCCCCAAATAGTGCTGAGCTGTCTCAAGAACATAAAATGACACAGCATTATTTTGCATAGCGTGCTTACACATAATCACATGTTTGGCTTGGGAGGAAAGTTACATTAACACCATCAATCCATGTAGCTTGCTGCTGAGTTGGCATAGACATGATTGTTTAAATCGTAGAACCCAATACAATAGTGCTTCCTTGGTGGAGCAACTGACTGGCACCGGTCACTCCTGTCCTCCTTTAGTTGCCTCACCCACACTGCTCCAGCTTGTGGTCTGGTGATGCCTTGCGTTCAACATGTTCAACCGAGAAGGGATGGAGAAAAAATGGTTCGCGTTTCCGATAAATGCCCCCAAAACCATTGAGAAACAAACTGCAAAATGACTGGGGCTCATAGTGACGAGTGGTTGCTCCAAAGGAAAAGTCTTTCTTTGAAGTCCAAGTTGCTTGGTTTCACCGTGTCCACCATCCGCTGGATGCACTTGCGTGCATATGTAGTTGGTGGAATTAAAACCCGCACAGCATCTGGGTCTCTGAACATATCTTCCTTCAAGGCTTCGTCAAAGAAAGTAGTGGTCTGTCTCGCGATGATGGCGCCGAAGTTCTTCTTGGCGATGATGCGAGCACCCTTCTGGCTCTCCGTCTTCGCTTCTGCAGCGCCACCCTCTACTTGCGACCATCCTTTCTGAGCCAATTTCTCCATGTGCTTCCGAGTGAGCGGGTCACCAACGAGGTCATCTAAGCCGGCATTGTCTCGGACGTTGAAGGGGTCGAAGAGCCTCTCCTGACCCAACTCGAATTGCTCACGGAGCTTGTCGACCGCCTGGTGGCACAGAAAAACGTTTCCACCAAAGGTCTCATAGAACTCCTGCCAGCCCACAACACAAAATCATTTGCAATATGCCGATTTGACATGACGTTACGCGCACACAGTTCCGACCCATACATCCCGTGATGAACTGATTACAAGAAATCCACCCAACCAAAGAACACCAAAATTCGACCCTGTTTTGCACGAGCATGAGCTAACAAAAGCAAGGTTTGGAAAAGTGCAAAGTTGCTCATAGCTCCTGTGCCAAGTCTTGAGACAAACCCCACTCTTGCAGCAAAAAAACATAGGTTTCTCTTCAACCTCCGGAGCTACAATCGTATTGAGAGCATCATACTTGTTGAAGCCAAGAGCTTGTAGTCCCAATGGGAAAGCATAGTCAGAGGCAACCAGAATAACAGACGCTTTCCCCTGCTCCTTTGTCAGCGCCACAAAGGTTGCGAGCGCTCTTTAAGCTGCTTCTCTTCTGCCATTCCCATTCCCACCGTTACCACTGGGAAAGGCGATGTTGGCTTCATCAACAATCATGACTGGAACCTTCTCTGCAGCCATTGTTGCCGCAACAAAAGCCTTGATGAACTCCTCGGGCTTGGTGATGTTGAGAAACAAAGAGAGAAGAGTTTCCACTGCACCCTCTCCTATCTCCTCATCGTCACATTCGTCACTCTTCTTTAAGTTCGCTTTGCCAAGTGCTCCAACAACCGCAGAACCGGCGGCAACCAGCCGCTCTGCCCCGAATGGCAAATTCTTTCCGGTCCATCTTCGCTTAGCTTCTTCTTGCAAACATTCCAATGCATCCGTTGACTGGGCTTTGCTCGGGAGACGCATATTGACGTAGAGCAAAGGAGCTTCATCGCCAGCATTGTCAACAACGGTCTGCACAATTTTGGTCTTTCCGAGGGACTTGCCCCCAATGACAAGGTGCAAACCAGACTTTCCCATAGCCTGACGAAGTTGCGTGACATCTTGAACTGTATCACAATTTAGCTGAGCTGAAGTCTTTTCAAAAATGGACAGGAAAAACCGTCTAATAACCGCATGAATTTCCTTAACCATACTGAACCTCTAAACTCCAAACAGAATTAAAACAAGTTCATGAGAAACAACGGATAGCTCAACCGCACTGCCTCATTCAATGTCTTCACAAACTCCTCTCGCCCAGCAACCGCGTCGCTCTTTCGGTAGAGTTCTGCTCTGTTGCTCACATCTTTCAGGTATTGGGCGGGACTGATGCCTTTGTTTTGGGCGCTTTCCTCTATCTGCTTTGGGATGCTGAAGGTCAAATTTTGGAAGGCGCCGACCAAAAAACAACTAATTGCAGCAAGACGCAGACAAGAAGCTGAAGCGCTTCTCTTGGAAGCCATTGCGCTGAAAAAAGGGTCGCAATCAAGCAATCAAAACTGAGTTTCGACCCCTGCTCTGTCAACTTTTTTGGAACAGTTCTTCGTTCTGGCTACCCAACACTGTTTGTTCGATGCGTTCTGAATTGAGCCCTCTAAGACTGAGCTGCACGGCAGGGGCTGTTGCCCCGGAATTCATCTGCAAACGCTGAGCCGAAAGCTTGAAACTGAACATCAAACCCAGACGCGCATGGAAGCATGCCATGTTTGCAAATACATTTCAATGTGCTGACGCAAGAAATCCACAGGTTCACCCTCTTCCTGCAAGCTCCACGAGTGGTTGCGGGCTGGAAATCCCTCATTGTTTTTGTGTTTTGAGAAAGTATGTACATACTTAAAAATGCGTTTGGTATTTTTGGGCTTTGGGAGTTGGGGTTCCGGCTAACGAGGCTGGGCTCTCAGGAAATCAGCCACCGATTTTGGGGAAATGCGTCACCGATTTTGGGAAATGCGTCACCGATTTTGGGGAAATGCGTCACCGATTTTGAGGAAATCCATCACCAATTTCGGGGAAAATGCGTCACCGACTTTGGGGAAAAGCATGTGCCTTTTTTGGGAAAAACAGGCTCCGTTTTTGGGACAAACAAGTTCGGTCTGGGGAAAAATTGGTTCGGTTTGGGGGAAATTGGCTCGGTTTTTGGATTGGCTTGGGACAAAGCTCAAGTCTCACTGCTTTGAACGCTAAGCATGTTTGGGTTTGGATTTTTGAGGTTTTAGGACTGGGTGTCACTAAAAATAAGTCAACCGGTGAGAAGTTGGAAGGGTAAAATGCTCAAACCTATAAACTTGGATGTCGAAACTATTTTGGGGTTTGTGTTAGGGACTTGTATGAGATGCCACAAGCACAAACTGATATACAAAGTTCCTATTGAGAATAAAAATACTTAAACAAATATTAAGATATATAACTAGCTATATATACACAATATGCCTTGTTACTTTGTAAGTAGTGGAGTTGAAATCCCGATGACGAATGAAACCTTCGACTTTATTTGGAACGGTTTTGGAAACAAAGAACTGACTGACAGCGAAAATTCTTCATCTGAAGAAAGCTACAAAGCAAACTCATCCGTCAACAAGAACACCAATGCTGAGTGGAGAAAGCAGGACGACGGATACTACAATAGAAAACCGAACGACAAAAAGTATTTCCAAAGATATTACCAAGAGAAAACGAAACAACTGTGTGTATGCGATATATGCGGCTCTGCCATGAGCTGTAAATCAAACTTGGCAAAGCATAAGAAAACGAAGAAGTGCCGGAGGTTCTTGGTTTGAGTTCACTATGATTTTATGATACAAGAAAATATCATAAAATTGTAATCTAAGATAATCTAAGTATCTTTAATGACAAGATCAGAAAAAGAAAAGGTATTGGAAAGAATATACTACGACGTGGACGAGGGCTTCGGTTCGGTGAGGGACTTATACGAAAAGGCTAGGAAAAACGATGTAGGCATAACTTTGGATATGGTATCTACATGGATGAGGGCGCAACCCAACAAGCAAACAAAAAACTACAAGAACTACAATTCCTACACTGCTCCGTTTCCCAAGTATGAATTCCAAATTGACTTGATGGATGTCACCAGTTTGCTGCGAGACGTAGGTTCTGAAATCAAAAGTCAACTAAGATATGGTTTAGTTTGCATAGATATATTCAGTAAAAAATGTCACATAGTCCCTATCGAGAATAAAGATGGTGATGACGTTTATAAAGCAATCATGGAGTGTTTCAAGGTATTGGGTCAGCCTTTGTCGATTTACAGCGACGACGAAGGAGCGTTGAACAGCAAGAAACTGCAAACATTCTTTAAGGAGGAAGGTATAACACACGTAATAACAAAGACGCATGCAAATCAGGCAGAAAGGATGATACGCACGGTCAAAAAAATGATTGGGGACAGATTGAGGCATTACAAAAACAAAACATGGGTGGAAGTGCTAAAGCCCTCGTTGAATAGATACAACAACCAAATCCACGGTAGCACCAAGACAACACCTAATAATGCGCACAATCTTGATAACGTAATTCAGGTCAGAACAAATCTGATACTGAAAGAAAAGCACAACAGAAAATATCCAAACATAAGTGAAGGAGATTATGTTAAGATATTTGATAAAGGAAAGGGCAACTATGTATCAAGCAAAGAAACTAGAAGTCAATGGAATGAAAGAAAATATAAAGTAATACTAGTTGGTCGTGATATGATTAATAATAGATACTACAAATTAGATGGAATGAGTAAAAGATATAATAGGCATGAATTACTTTTGGTTGATTAGCAACTGCTCTTCTTTCTCCTGTTTTGCCTTTCTCTTCTTTTTGCATTTAGAATTATCTTTGTCTCTTTTGTATCTTTCTCTTTGTGGTTGTCTTCTTTCTTCTTTGTTTTCTTCTCTATATTTTGAGCTCTTTTCGCAATATTTCTCCTTATTTTTGTAGTGTTTCGTCTTTTTTTCTTGTATTTTGTTTTTATTGTTCTCATGATGCTGTTTGTTTTTGTTCTTTGCATTTTTCAGTATTCTCTATTTTAATACCTTTTTACTGTTGAAGGTGATACTCTCTTGTGGCATCGCAATATTCCTTTCTAGTCCTATCAACAATGCATTTGCTAAGACAATTCTTATCATTTTCAATATATTCACCTTCTTTCTTTTCGGGTTGCTTTCTGTTTTGGCATGGGTATTCTTCAATAAGAGCTACTTTACGGTTTTCAACACCGAACTCATTAAACGATTTCATAGAGAGAGGATGGCGTTTTTGGGGATTTGTATTGTTTATATAGAGAAAATCTACAATCTCTTCTATGTTTTGCCATTCTTTGACTTAGTTTTTCAGTTGTTGAATCGATGTAGCATTTCTTTTAAACAAAATCAACTATCTTATAAATTTGTCCGTTTTCATATCTGTTCACATCTATTTATATACATGTATCTTAAACCACTTTGTCGTTATGTAGATATTTTATGGCATAATGTCCAAACGGGAGACTTTCAAAATCTGAATACCAGTAGCGTTTATTGTCGTAGTTGCTTAAAGCATATTTAGTCTGATTAATGCTATAGATTTGATGGTTCTTACTTCTGATAGTGTTAAAACTGACTTCTTCTTTACAGTTTCTATTCAATGTCTCTTCATAAGTTTTATAACTTAACTGATTACTCACTTTATGCTTTACTACTCCTTTACTCTTCTTATGTTCTTTATCATCACCATATATTTTATAGCAATATGCCTTTGGTTTCAATCCTATAAAGTGAGTAATTATTTGACCGTTCATTTCATCCTTGAACTTGCCTAATACCTTCTTATTTGTTTTGTCATAGTTTGGATGTTCTACATTATAATCACTAAAATCCATATATTCATTAATTTCTTTGAAGTCTTCATATAAGTCATCAGTCTCAACTTTTATTACATAACTATCAGTATCAGTATATACCAACTTAATATTATCCTGATATTTTGGTTTCAAAACATCATAATAGAAGGAATACATGTGAATTTCAGAATAGTCTAAAATATACATACCCATATAAATAGGTTTGTTTAGTTCCACTGTGTGTTTATCTTTTTCCACAATTACAAGGTCTTCATTTATGATATGTCTGTGTTTGAATAGCGGTTTATTTACCAGTTTTTGGAAGCGTTCAGGCGTATGGACAATTTCAAAATCACCATGCTTTCTTACATTCTCCATGGTCTTACCATATACACTGTTGTTCATTAACTTAAACAAATCTTTTTCAAAATCATTTTTGGCATTATTTCTCTTTTCAGTGTTGAATTCAATGAATGGTTTTAAGAAGTTTGCTTGTTTAAAACTTATTGCTCTATGGACTTTTCTAAGACTTAATCCTTGTCGTAAATAAAACTTCAATGCTGATATATGTAAAACATACTTCTTTTTATCCATCACATTTAATACTAACTTATTTGTCGTTTCATCACTGGCATCTTTTCCATAATAGTATTTGTGTATATCCTTTTGGACTTGTGAAAGCATATTCTCATTGATACACATGTTTTCAGGGGCCAATGGATAGTCTTTATGTAGTCTTTATGTAAATCATGAAGTTCCTTTGGATAATCTAAATCAACTTCTAATATGTATCCTATGTCATCATCATCATCACTACATTTCACTACTCTCTTTTCATCCATTCTACCGTAATACCATGTAAAATCACCATATGGCAGTTCTTACACATTGCTAATCCGTAAAGGTTATTAGCATCTAAATAACTTATGTATGATGAAGGTTTAGATTTATCATAATCTTCATTCATGTATTTATTGTTTGCTTCTACTTTCTTAAAGGAGCACTGTGTCATTCCTCCTCTTAATCCATGTTCAATCATCTCATACATTTCTTTTATGTGTATTTGTTGTAGTCTAACTCCTGTCAATGATAAAAAGGCATTCCAAGAATAGTTAGGTAAAGTGATATAATATGCTGGGTCTAATCCATAATAGTTCAAACACATATCCCTAAAATTTTCAAAAACATCAGTTAGTAAATATACATCAGTCATCAAATACAAATCATGATATTCACCAAGATTCTTAATGCTAAAATGTGTCCACACAATATTTGCTCTGGCGTAGTCTTTGTCAGTTATGTTTTCTTCATATAGTTGACTGTAAAAATCTTCTTTGTCTGGTAGTTTTATTTCATCGAATTTCTCCCATGAGTTCATGTAGTCATAGGGATAGACACCCTTATCAGTCAGCAAATTCAAATCAGTTTTAGATTTGATATATGGGTTGGTGCTTGTACATCTGAAACGAGTTTCCCAATCTTTAATCTTTTGATTTCCTTCATATTTGTTTAATCTAACTAACTTATCTAATGAAGCAGTTAAGAAAGCGAAACTGTCTTTAAACTGACAGGCACCAAATGAAAAGGTTATGAAATTCTCACTGTTTTGTGCTATTACATCTATTCTTTTGTTTTGGTTTAGTTCTATGTTTAGTTCATTCGCTCTGGCAATGATTAAGTGAGCGTCATAGTTTTTGAGATTATGAAAGAAGATAGGGATTTTAAAATATCCAAATGAATAATCCAGATTACACTTTACATGTGCCGCGCCTCTGTATTTGCCTGTGAAGTGGCAGTGGTCGCGAACAATTCCGACGGAATTGAGAGCACGCGAACTATTCGTGTCTTGGACTTTTGTATCATCAGGTTGAAATTTCTTATTACATATAGAGCAGTGGGTCGCGTTTCTAAATTTTGTCTTTTGTTCGTAAGTTAATTCATCCATTGGTTTATTAACATTCATTTTTTCAAATAGATCTTTCTTAATTTCAGTCAGTTGTTCTACAAACTTTTTCATACAATCCTCACCTCTGTATAAGTAAGGTCGGCAAGTATTATCAATCCTGCTTACTACATTCAACATATAACCACACGGTTTATGTTCCTGATATGTGCCTTTTATTCCAGTATTAGAGTTTGTGGTTAGACATTCAAAAGCACCATAGATTACAAAAGGACAAGGCAATTTAGTATTATGCTTTTCAAATTCTATATAAGTGTCTTTATCGGGCATCTTTGTTTGTTGTCCTTCTGATGCCATACATCCTTTTTCAAGATGGTTCTTATACGCCTTTTCTGTTGAGAAAGGATTTAAACAATGCTGGCAATAATAATGTTTTTTGCTATCATCCTTGTTGCTTTGACAGTTTAATAATCTGCTTTTGTTCCTAACCAAGGCGTAGTGAAAATTATTGTCTTCATCATAGACCTTTAACAAATCAATCTCATACTTAGCATGTCTATTTTTGGTGCCTCTGTGTAATATGATTTTATTATCATTTAAGCAGTCATCAGGTTCAAAAACATTTATTGAGACTATTTTATTGTTCTCTTCAAATCTATCTATGTCCCTATTACCAGTTGGAAATTTTACACCATCCCAGTTCAAAATATCATCTTTCAGTTTATTATAGTGGAACATTTCCTCTGGGTGATGTTTGCTTATTTTGCCATAGACTGCGGATTGAATACAATATTTGAAGCATGTTTGATCTTTGTTTTTGATGTTGATACATGCCTTTTTTAGTTTAATCCATTCTGGTAATTCTATGTATCTCCCTGCTCTTGTTGGATCATATTTGTCTAATGAATGGTTATTGATTAAAAAAAAAAACGTAGATTAGAGGTTGATGCTTCTAAATTGTGTATTTTTAATAAGATTTGTTTAACACTATCTTCTAATGCTTGTGTCAGTTCATCCTCATTACTAATATTGAAGCGTGTTGGTGGTAGAGCATATACAAGTTCCTGACTGCCAATTTCATTACCTCCATCATCGTATTCAGGTTTTTCAAAGAGTGTTTCTGTTCTTATATTAAGTTTCATGCTTCTATGCTTTCTTAAAAACTCCAATAGTCTTGGTTTTTGGTGAGCAATCATTTCTAATCCCCTTTCACCTTCAAAGTGTTTATTTTCTAACACTATTGAATTAGCATATCTTCTAAATGCTGACTGAATATCTCTGACCTTAAATTTGTTTTGTATTGCGTGTTTGGTTAGTAAGTTTTTTACTTTTCCTTCACTGAACGCATCTACTTTGCCTTTTTTAAAGCATAACTTCTGTATTCATTAGTTTTCTTTACTGTTAATAGTTTCTTTGTTAAAACATTAGATATGGGTTTGTCTTTGTTGTATCTAAATTTCTTGTTGTCTATGACTATTGATTTCAATTCTTTTCTTCCTCTTTTTGGTATTTCTGCTAAATCATTACTCAATAGATAGTCTATAACTTTTTTCATCATATAATATTATATATATATTATTTAGTTAATTTATCTTTAAGTAGTTTTTTTAAAGAATGCATTATTTTAATCGTTCAATATATACGTCAAGAATAGTTATTTAAGTATATTAGTAGGATGGATTGTGCGAAGGATTTACCCGTTGATGTGCTGAGTAAAATTGTTTCTTATAAAATTGGAGACCCTACATATTTGAAAATTATATATTGCCATATTGAGGCATTAAAGAGAATGCAAAACAAATATAAGATTTCAAGACTTGGTCCTAAAATAGCAAGACATTTGAAATCAAGAAAAAAGATATATATATATATATATAATTGAATACTGTATTATGAGAGAGGGAGTGCCATTTAGTTTTAAAACGTTAGAAGACATAATAACAGAAGAAAAAGAAGAATTATTATCTTTAGTTTATGAAACTCCCAGAAAAGGAATATGGAGAAAATGAATTTAGTTATAGAGAGATTTATTTTATGAATGACTTTGATGAATATGTAGATGAAGATAATGTAGATGATTTTTTTTAGAGAAAGCAGTTGAAGAAATAAAAACCGACATAGAAGACCAAGATAAAGATAGTATAATAGGAATACAGGCATTTCATTTTAAATTAGTAATTATTGAAGACATTTACTACTAACATATTTCTAATAATATTTATTAGAGTTATGGATGATTAAGATAGAAATATTAAAGGTTAAGGGTTTATCTTTATTGTTGTCCTTTTTTTGTTTTTTATGTTGTTCTTTGCTTGGTTTGTTTTTTGTTTGTTGTTTGGTTGTGTCGTTTTGGGCATGGAATGGATGAGGTGATGATGTATTGACTGTTGTGATTTTATTAAAATGGATGAGGTAATAGATGGTTAGTAGTTATGATTTATGAAAATGAATGAGATGATGGTATAGGTGGCAGTGATGATTTTGTCAAAAAATGAATGAGGTGATTGATGGTAGGTAGTGATGATTTTGCTGTTGTTTGTTGATTGTTCTGTTTTTGGGTTTTGTTATTTTGCTGTTATGGTTTTATGGTATTATTCTTTGAACTGTTGTGATTTTGAAAAATGGATGAGGTAACTATACTTTGACTGTTATGATTTTCATTATAGTTTTGATATTGTTGAAAAAATGAAGCAATCAACAATACTTAAAATCTGTGCTTAGACTGTTATAGCTATAATTGAAATTAAAAAACTTCTATGAACTGTTGTTTTATACATTTTTTGGGGGATCCCTCATTTCGAGACAACCCCAAAAGAACATGATAGACCCACTAGAAGTATTTGCTCTATTTGAATTTTGTTGGATTTATTTTTTTAAAAAAAAAGCTGCAAACGACTCGAATTCAGAAAGCGTCCATATCAAAAAAGTCCCCGAAGTCCCCGCTTCTGTAGTCAAGTAGCTGAAGCGCTTCACTACACAAATCACGTACGGTGGCAGCCGCCTCAAACTGTACCTTCCAGTTGCTGCTGTCCTTTGATTAGTTTGATTGCTACAAAAGTGCGTAAATCTGAGTATCCTGAAATCCTCACTTTGAAGTGCACAAAACATCATCAAACATCATCAAACATCGGCCCTCTGTGGGTGCCTTCGGATCTCACGAGACTCACCACCCTTGGCGATCTTCTCAAAGGGTTTTTCACCATTGAACTTCTCAAGCAGGTTGAAGAGAGGCACCTTCAGCGGAGACGATCTCAAGTGGTTTCCCCTTAGCAATTAGAAATTTCAATGGGAAACCAAGGAACAAGTATGAACAAGTACTTTCGGAAGATTCCAGAATTTTGCAAAGCCTTGGATTTTCAATCATGTTCTGAAGTTTGAGACAAGCCCCCATGTCCCACATGAAACTTGCTGGTTGAACAAATCCCTTCCCCCATGGCATACCCGTCCATACTCCTTTTCATTCCGTTTCACCCCGGGCAGCCTGTGGGATGAAATCCAGATTGTCTTTGAAGAGTGGTTCATCTGGCAATTCCTGTGGCACAGGAAAGATCTGGAAACAGCAAATCGAGCTGTTTCGGGCCTGGACTTTCGGACTTTCCATGACTTTCCATGACTTTCCCAAACAGCAAATCATCATGGCAGGGCCATATCCCAAGGATCTGACCAATGTCAGGAACATGGTCTTCTCTTTGGATTCGGTGATGCGTGACTCTTCATGTGCCGGGCACAACTTCACCTGGACGGTTTAATTTGGGTGGAAGGGGAACCATGGGGA